CTATAGTGATATCAGTTGCTCGTCTCAGGGCCGTGGTTTTTTCCCTTATTCAAAAGGGTTTTCCACGTAAAAATCTTGGCGTCATAGTCACTCTTTTATTCTTGTTAATTACCGTATCTCGGTGCTACGTTATTATTCCGCTTTTATTACTGTGAATATTATTTCTAAAGGAGGTTTATTCCCAACAATTCTATTAGGTATGGAAGCCAAATTGGAGAAAAAAAAGATTTGGTTCCACCATTGTCAAGTTGAAGCTTCAAATTGAATTTCAATCAAACTCAAAATCTTTGTGTTAAAAATCAATTGAGTGTTGCTCGAGCTTATTGGAAATAGCTTGGAGAAGTGGATTTGAAGTTTGAGTGCATTTAAAACTAATTCGAATTGATTTTGATATAAGAAAAATACGAAGCTGAAATTTGTGAAGAACTTTGAAGTTCTCAAGCGTTATAGCTTCCAAATCAATTTGTAATCTCGAATTAGATTTTGTGAAAAAACCGAGAGAGAAGATAAGAAGAAAGAAAATATCTTTAAAATCCCTAATTTTGTAGGTTTTGTTGAAGGTGGTATATATTATGTGAAGATTTTGTTGCTATATTTTGAAAGTGAAATAGTACCGTATTTTTTTATTTTATTTTTTTTTTATTTTTTATTTTTTTTTTGTAATTAGGGGTCTTATTAGGTATATCTATGTAAATCTTCCTTTTTTTCAAAATGTCCAAAAGTTGTTTGGGTGAAAATAATTCAGCGAAGAGTAAGTTATAGTCCAAACGCCTCTAACCAAACAAAACCATAGAACTGCAAAACAAACTAAAATCATAAATAAAATTTCTTGCACCAACTAACAAAGTATGTGTTGAAAGTTATTTAATTCTCTGACGTATGATTTAGTCTAATCTGATCATTTTCACTATCGTCCAGTTCGAATGTTGACTCCTGATGTAGTAATTTTTTTATTTTTAGATTATGAGGATGCTTAATTTATTATTGTCATTTATTTGCATGAGAATTTAACTCCAAATATTGTTTTATATGGGGTCTAAATGGATGGGAGTGGTTATTGAGGAGTCACATTGTGGAGCCTGACTAGTTTGGAATTAGAACGTTAGTTGTTACTTGTGTGTAATTTATCTCCAAGCTGGAGAAAATTTTAGGGTTCTGATATCATCTGCAGGGAGCAATTAACAATGGAAGTTAGATTAGGACTTCTCTAATGATATATTGATGGCACATGTGGTTCTTTGTAATTCTATTAGAAAGAACCATTTTCAGCACTTTTTGAGTGACTGTTTCTTCATCTTTCTTGTTTTAGTATCATTTAAAAAGTCACGTTGTCACTCTCTTTGGGGAAAGGGAATTCCAAAACCACTTTAAATTCAAATAATCGTCAAATCTTTGATTGGTTACTTAAGCTAGAAATCCTATCAAATGTAAATGTTCAAAACCTCAAACCTTTGAATCGATTCCAACTTTCATGAGAAACTGAGGCAGCCAATATTTGAGTTCGGTGCAGATAGGGATGGCAAACGGTGCGGGCGGGTTTTATCTTAACCCGCAAAATTTTAATCCGCCTCGCTTATCTCTTTTAAACCGACCCCGCACCCGCGCAACATTTTTCTTTTCCTTTTCAGAACGTCTTTTTTTTTAAAATTTTTTTTTTTTGCTTATCAATTCTAAGCATGCATAAGCTAAACAATAATCATTTCAATTTAGAATCAAGCATTCAAAGTGAGTATTGAGCATCATAATTTAACTATGATACTGTCAATCTCATTTTATTTCAGGTGAGAAAAATAAGGGCTAACATGAGAAATTCCTCAGTCAAACTTTAGTTTTTCTATCCTTAAATGGTAAATAACCAATCTTTTCACCGATTAAATTATAAAAAGACATAATTTTATAAAGAAAAAAAAAATACTAGTATACAATAGCAACAGATGAAGCATGTAGTAGGGCAAAAAGATAATATTTCCAGATCATTGAGTACAATCAAAATTTTAAGCTAAAAGTTCCCCACTGGGATGCTATCCACATCCCAATCTTCAATTCAAGATCTGACACTTGAAATACCAATTCTATAAACTTTCAGAACCTGTGCAGAAGGGAGATACTAACAATAAATTACAAAAGCTATTTACTAAAATTTCAACTTGTCAGAAAAAATTAAGGAATTTTTACCTTCCTATACACTATTTGAAACTTTATTACCCTCCCTACTTAAGTTTCAATTTAATTACATAAGCATATACAATTTACCAATTATATACATTTTAGGAATTAAATGAGTATCCCTTTATATTAGAAATTGAATAAGGAATCAATTATTTCTCATCCTTATTCTCTCTCCCTCCTGCGCTATCTCTCTCTCCGTCTCTCTCTGTCTCTCAATCTCTCATTCTCTGTTCTTTCCCCAATTTTTCTTCCTCTTATGTTCTCTATTTTTTATCCTTTCATGTTGTATATATTTTTAATGAAATTCATCAATGAATTTCAATCGTTTTACTATAGAGTTTTAACTTAGCAATTTCCTTTCATGTTGCACAATTGGCGTTCAAATTGAAATTGTCAATTAGTAAATTTTGAAGATGTTTGACTCTCCACCATTGACGGCCATTAAAAAACTTTGAAGCTTTGAATTCGAATTTGGGTTTTCAAAAACCATTATTTGTTTGTACTGAGTGTTATTGCAAATAATTGAGAATATTGTTTGGAGTTTATATCTCAATTTTGAGGTTGTTTGGTGAAGATTAGACTTGATTTTGGCTGAATTTCATATTGAAACTCGAAGAAGGAGAAGAATAACACATCACATACCATATATTTACGAAATTGTAGTAAAGTTATAGTATAATTGTATGTAAATTGTATTTAGTGGTAATATATTTTTTATTATTTAAATATTGTATAAAAGTTGAAAAATAGTTGTATAGTGTATGAATCGTTGTATAAAATTTGTATTTAAGTTATCAATACTATCTTTTTTTACATAAAGTTATTGATATGTATCAAAATTATATTAAGAGAGTAAGTTTTGATTGGAATCTTAGAGAGGAAGAAGCACACAGCACATACAAAATATATACAAATCAGATACAAAATATATACAAAATATACAAAAGACATATTGTATTAAATTTATATGAAAATTGTATTTAAGTTGTATGATGTTGTAGTTGTATTTAACTGGTAAGAAGAATGTATGAAAGTTGTAGATAAGTTGTATATTGTATAATTAGTTGTATGAAATTTATTTTTATTATGTATATTGTTGTAGATATATCAAATTTTATACTAAATTTGTATGAAATTTATTTTTAATTTGTATGATGTTGTACCATGCATTATTCTTTTCTCGAAATAGGATGTGTTGATTAAAGGCATTGATTTTTGTAAACTAGGGCTTGTGTTGTCATGAAAGAAGTCCCTGCCGAATAAGTTGTGTTTTAGATTTATTTTCTTTCTTTTTCTGATTAACTTTGTGCTCACTTTTGCCCCAACTTATAGATGTCAGTTGATTTCTTTTGTTGGTAAATTAATAGGTCCTCCTTTTCTGGAGGCAGAGGTGAAATAGTAGCAATGCTCAAGTTTTTTCAGATTTTTCAGTTGAAGAAAGAAAAAGAATATTTTGAAGTTGAAGTTAAAAAAATTGTTGAAATTTTGTGCATCGTCTTTTTTTATGTGTGCCTTTTAACTTAGAGCTAAAGGCTGTCGATTAAAGTTTAAAATGCAACAAATTTGCGCACCTCGTTTGATGATATAAAATATATAAAGAGAAATGATTAATCATGCATGTGAAATTGTGAAACTTGGGAAGATGATAAATCTGAGAAATTGAGAATGCAATAAAAAAAGACCAATGAGACTACGAAAAATTGGAAAAATATAAGGATAAAAATAGAAAACTCCATGTACACGGCTAAATAACAAGACACCCCAGAAATACAATTAGGGTGACATTTGCTTACAAGTATTGCTTATTTTGTACTCTCCCATCTGTTTGCTTTCTTTTCTTTTCTTTTTTAAAAAATATAGTTGATCAGGAAAGGGAAAAGTGTGAAACTATACTCCTCCAATATAGTTATGCCTTTTTTTCAAGCAAAATATTCCCCAATTTATGGCACTAATAATGGATTGAGAGCCTTTTAAAGTGAAATGTATACAATTTATAAATAATCCTTGTTTAGGACGGGTAATATACAAAATTAGGACAATTTTGGTAAATAAATTTCAAATATTGTATGGGAAGGAAAAAATCCCAAAAATTAAAACATTTTGTTCTTATCAATAAAGATTCTATTAATTCATCCATAACAGATGAAGGAAAAGTGAGAATAAATTCCATAACAACAAACACAGAGAACTTGAAAATCTGTAATTTCGTAAAAAATTTAAACTCACTCCCGCAACCACAAAGAATTAAATTTCTTTTATTTTAACCCACATCACCCCGCACCCGCATACGTCCAAACTCGCACCGGCCCGCACCCGCATCGCAACATTGCCATCCCTAGGTGCAGAGATGCATATACACTAAAGTAAATTATAATATAGAGCGGTCAGGCGAGAATATCAAAGGCAGTTTTCTCTTAAGAGACTGAATACTCTACACATTCTTCTGACATGGACCAATATCAGCGTACATAATAGCAACTCCAGGAACAAACTTAAATCACGCTCCGGGCAGTCTTGTTTTCTCCCATCATTCCCTCTCTTAATTCCAAGAGGAATTATTTTTGGGTATATATAATATAATAGGTGTTGAACATTTCATGTTATGTAGCACCTTTTTCTTTTTGGGTTAAAAACAGAATTCCATTCTTTCCAACTTTACTAGGTAGATAATAGACCCACCCATCTACCCTCTTTCCACTTAGAAAAACAGTTAGATTCACTAGATCGGATTCAAACTCATGACGTCTCGGGTTGTACTACCTTTTCTATTGAACCAAAGCCCTAGGATCCAATCATGGTATGTAGCTTGTCCCCAAGCAAACATAATATCAACTCAAACAAAAAAAAAGGACTTCTAGTTTTCAATTTCACACGTTTGCTAATCTGAGATTCAGCAATCATCAACTTAGAACGTCCTTACTCCAACCACATGGGAAATCATCTTTCACTACTAGTCAGAGATACAGATTTTACAACCACCACGAAGAATACTTGAGCGCTAGCAACGTACTAATTTCATAGTGAGATGTCCAATTTCCACCACGTAAACTCTCATAGCATCTGTTGCCAAAGAGTCTCCTACATCATCAGCAACTATGTAATGAACCACTAACAAGACACTGCACTACAATGCATGAAACAGAGCAAGTGAAGATGTAAGCAGATATTCCATTTGAAATGGAAGACAATATATGAGCACCTTGTTATCATCTCTTCCTCTTATGTGTCTTCAATTGCTTGAAAATGAAGCTGATTGCTTCCTTTAGTGTGGCCTTCCTTTGTTCCTTGGAATTCCACATCTCAGGGATCACATATCTGCCACTGGGATTGTATTCCTCAATCTCCTTTAGAGCTTCAGTTACCGCATTGTAAATTTCATCCCCCCATTCCTCCTTGAGCTTTTTTAGCGCTTCATCATCCTCATCGATCACTTTCTGCAGTTAGTTGCAAAATTAATTAGATACTCAATATGGCTGCCAACATGACAAGAAATATGCTTCTCTCTCTTTCAGATTGTTGTGGAGCAGTTAGGATAGTAAATTTAGGGGACAGGTTCACAACTATTCTCTTTTGGCTGGCATCAAAAAGGGGTTTGGTTTTCTGTTTTTTTGCTACTACCTTACGTAACTAAAGATTATGGTCTAATTAAGTTTTGCCACCTTTACCCAAGGATAAAAGATGACCGTCATTGAGAAGACCATGAAGCTAATAGCCAGCAAGAGAAGTCCCTCATTCTTTTTAGTAAATCCATGAGGTTTATATTTGTACATGAGATTGGGTGTATGTTGTAGAGAAACATATTTTTGTGTAGGCTCTCTAACTATTGATATACTTCTTGTATATGGCATATGGGAATTTCCTCACATTAAAAAAGTTGCTTTACCTTCTCAAAAAAAATCCTCCTTTCTTTAAGCGTCATACCTTTATGTGCAATGCACAGCTCTTAACCTAAAAGGAATAATATTGGCAGCAATAACATAATAAAACAAACAGGCATAAGGGACAAACCTCAGCCTTGGACTCGTCAACCATGAAAGTTTTAAATGGATGCCAATCAGAGTCTTTTATTTTTTCCTGCCAAAGAGAACACAGTTCTAAAGCCTTGATCTCAGCTTCCTCATTTGGGAACCTTTGCTTGCATGCATTCTGAAAAGCTTTTGACTCGATTTCCCCCATTCTTCTTATCCCAATATGGGAGCGCCCGCTGGTCAAGAGCTCATTCAATCCCTAAAAAGATGATAATTGATAATGATTAAGCAGCCAATAAGCAGTGTGCTTTAACAAGAAGAAGCTCCAACACCAAACAAGGTTTTTAACCGCATCTCATAACATAAAAATCTTACTGTCATAGTGCCATTAATACTGAATCATACCGTAATTAATGTGCGCCGAGCATCTTGTAGCTCATCATTACTCCTGCGCTCCTTCGCTAGAAGGGTTTGATTCAAGGATTCCAAGTCTTCCATTTCTTCCATTTTCCCAACCAGCTCCTCGTTCATCTCCTTGATTTTATTTTGCACAGCTGNAGAGTTTCTTACGTCATTCTGAAAATCCACAAACGATGTTCAGGATCCTTCAAATGTAAGCAAGTGAATTGAAAAGCATTGAATGTATTTTCCAGAACAAATTCTTCTAAACAAGAACAGGAAGCTTCAGCATATTATTCTACTTCACACAATATACAGCCGTACGTAAGCTGACAACCAAAATCCAGAAGAGTGTAACTACCTACATTATAATAATGTAAAATATCAGACAACTTTGACTGATATTAGAACTTTGATCACCTTTTGCTTCTCCTCATCCAGCTTTTGCTTTTCTCTTTCAGTTAAGGTCTCACGTTTGTTCAATTCTCTGCTCCAAATATCTAGCTGCTTCTTCTTCCTCTCCAGCTCTACACTTAACATCTCCTGCTCATGTAGGACCTTCTGTACATGCTCCCGAGCAAGGCGTTGCATCTTCCTTGTTTCTGTATTTTAGATATCAGTTATACAGGAGGCACGATAGCAGTTTCTTTAACCACAAAATACAAAAATACTAGTCCCATTTCTTTCTCCAGAATAAGACTTTCTTGAATTCCTGATTTATATCAAACCGATGGCCTAGAATTCCTTAGAATTCTTTTAAAGCAATCCTGGAGACATTTAAAAGTAATTGACATGTAGAAACAAAGGAAACACGTCAATAGAGAACATGTGTGATGTATAATTTCAAGTCCAAATACTCTCATCATATCAGTGGAAAATGTCAATTTCCTAACACATAAAAGAAGGAACATAATTATCACATATAATTGCAAAGTCAAATGAAAATAGTAAAATGGATGGGTTTATGACTGGGAACCTTCAAAGAAAGAACGATGTAGTATGTCTTTCTCCTCAAGCATCTGCCTAAGAGACAACGTCTTTAAATTAAACTGTATCTGCAGCTCATCCAGATTTTCATTTTCCATATCAATCTCGTTAGCTAGAGTAGCTACGACCTTATTCCTATCCTGGGTTTCTTCCTTGATCAGGTCAGATATAGTCTTTAACTCCCCCTTTCCACGGAGATATTCTCCTATTGCCCCTTCTGCTCTAAAATCATCTTCCCGAGTAACCCATCCATAAATATTTGAACTGGGGCAACTTTTATGGGCACACCATTCTTTTTTACTGCAGCGCCTGGCTTCAAAGGATTTCTCAAATTCCATTGCATTATTGAAACCAGTCCAATTCCTATCAAAAGTCACAATAGCTTCAGACACCAGCGCTTGGTTATCATGGAAAAGCACAATTTCCAAGGGCTTATACAAGGAAAATTTTTTCAACCAATACTCCTTGTCGTCCACAGATTCTCCATCTGCTGTTTCTTTTGATATATTGACAACAACTGCAGTCCAAGGCCAGCAAAATACTTCTGTTTGCTCAGCTTCTGTGCGCTCTGGTGTGACAGCACGTGGGGGTACTGGCTCAGCCTCATTAGCTAGGTCAGATTCCAAGTACTTTGCAAGAGCCAAGTGGTTTGCTTTTTGTTTTGCACCTAAACGAGCACCTTTACCTGCACCAGAAGCATGTTGAAGCAGTTCATTGTATTTGTAATCTTGCTTCTTCCTCCCAGCACAAAAGGGGCATCTGAGAGACCCATTTGGACCCTTCACTTTGTATTTTCCAGTTCTCAGTTCTTGATAAGGTTTCTCTATATAATCATTAATCTCAGAATCACTGAAATCTGATTCCTCATCTGAGCTGCTCATCTGATTGAAACACAAAGCAAGAGTCAATTTTCAGAGAAGAACATAATACAAACAAATAACAAGCAAATNAGAACATAATACAGACAAATAACAAGCAAATTAAGTTAAAAGCCAACAAGCAACTTCAGGAAAATATATACCAGAAGATGAGCAGCACATGGTGGCAGAGGATACAAATACACACAGGCAAAAGACTGACAAGCACAGAAAACTAGAGATAAAGGAGTTAATAACCATCAGGGATGGTGTAGATTAGTGTACATAAGAGTCCATAACTCTCCACCTTCCCCGACTAACATAAGCTTCCCCCAAACAATTCCAAACTCATAAAAACATTTCCCAAACACTGTTAGTTACTGGAAAGTGCATAAATAAATGATCTACATTTTTGTCTTCTGCCAGGGATAAGTAGCATCTATTGCACACATTATCTTGAGTAAGAAGCACCCTTAATTCCAATCAAATCTGGAATTTCTTTTTTAAATGCTTGGGCATCCGGTGGCGTTCTTCAAATTCTGCTTTGGACATTCTTCATGCATGGCATAAAAGGGTTTTGTCTAAAGAATCATTTCGAATCTGGAACATTATACTGGCAGTACTTTGGTGGGTGATTTGGAAGGAAAGAAATGCTAGAGTTTAGAAGTGAAGAAGAGCAATGTTATTAACCTTATATACAAGTGTTTATCTTTGCTCAACTTTTGGCATAAATATGGATAGGGTCGATGTTTTAGAATCTGAAGCCATGATTGATTTTCTTTACTCTCTACACACTTTGTAAAGTTCTCTCCTTTTGAATGTACATTTCTCCAGCATCCCTTATTGCTGGTTTTTACATCAAAAAGATATCTCAGTTTCTTATCAAAAAATAATATCAAAATTCATGCTTTGACTGTATCAGAATACTGGTTTGAATGTGCATTTCAAGTGAGATACGAGCTTTGACGACAAATCTACAGCTTTGATAAACATAAGTTCATGTGTAAACACAATTTCAAACTTCCATAGACTTCTTTCCAACTTTAACTTCAAATACTCTTATTGTTTTCAACATCAACTCACAGTCCAAGCATCTATCTAATTTTGAGGATCCCTAATTTGTCCTTTAAGATGAATTATTTATAATTTGGATGAAATAAACACAATAATGCGGAATAAGGATTCATATAGTCAACCCTAGCTAGCTTGAGTAGTTAGATATAACCCAAAAGGAAGCAAAAAAAAAGAAGAAGAGAGAACTGTCACTGTTTCAGATGAGCAGGAAGCAAGAAACAATTACAACAAATTCGTTGCAAAAAACAGACACTGCAAGTAAAAAAGTAACAAAATTGAGAGAAAAGAAGTCCACTTTTTCTACATTTTCATACCTTTTTACCAAATCGATTGGGAAACCTCCGTCAAGGAAATGACTGAGTTTCAGGATGGAAATGAACTTTCCTTCGCCGGTGACAGTGGTGATCACCGGAGCTCCGGCAGTATTCTCCCGAGGAGTAAGAGGAAACCCTATAAAATGGACAGGGAGAGTTTGCTGTGTGTAATTTCCGAGGCATGGCATGATATTATTGGAGAAAATAACAAAAATGGTCCCTTATGTTTGGGATAGATTCAAAATAGTACCTAAATTATATTCTTAAGTAGTTTTTGATCATTATGTTTCTCAAATATGAACATTTTTGGTCTCCGAAAAATATTAAGAAACTCTTTTTGTTTGATAAAGCGAGAACTAAGAAAAATTCTAGAAACTGCAATAGAAAAAATTACATCAGACGCCAAAGATAGACAAAAAGAATTGCACCAAAGTGTACCAAATTCTAGAAATAAATAAAAACTATAAAAATTACACATGTGAGTTCTCGTGAAATACTTTTTTTTTTCCATTTCTGTCAAATCTAGCAAATATAATTTGCTAAATATTTGATAAAGACAAAAAATATTCATATTTTACAATCTTAAAAGACCAAAACTGCTCAGAAATATATTGAAAAAGCTACTTTAAACTTATTCCTAAATATAAGAGGAGATTTTACATGCACAATCATTTATTTAATATTATTTTCATTAATAATATTATTCTTCATGTATTCCATTAATGGCAATTTCTTTTACAATTCTAGCATCCTTCAAATATTTTAAAAATAAACTGACCCTCAAATTAAGGAGTCAGTTTTATCCTAATAATATTATCCTTTCTCTCTCATCATTATAGTAAAACTTTTCAATTTTCACTCCTTTGTAACGGCAACCCCCCCCTTGTTGTTGCCATCTTCCATCTCCATTCTTACATATCATAAATAAATTTAAATATTTTTGCTTATTTTTTATATAAGTAATAATATATATACCTTATATTTTTTCAACTAAATATAAGGTTTTGACTGCGGCTGCCCTGAAAGCTTGTCGTAATATGGCTTGGTTGCATATTACATGGATGGTGAGGGAGGGGGTGCTATTAACAACCTTGGGGTCGTTTGGTTTGAATACGACTTATGCCAGGATAAGTTATACTATAATTAGTTATGCTGGGATTAGTTATCCTAATATTATTTTTTATCGACTGTTTGGTATGTTGTATTAAAAATGATAATTACATAATTTATAAAAAGAAGGTATAATTCCGACACTAATTACCCCACCCTCTATAAGGTATAAATTATTCCGGTACTAATTATAATTCCAGGATAACTTATACCAAATTTGCTAACAAAATAAAGTATTAAGATTATATTAAATTTTTATACTAGCAATATACCTTCGTATAACTCGTACCAAACGATATAGGTTTACTATCACTGCCGATATTGCTTTTGGTTACGGATTAATCTAAGTGATATTTCACCCTTCTAAAGGATAGTGTGATCACTAGATGTTTTGAGTTATACGACAAATATACCTTATATTTTTTCAACTAAAATATGCATACATTTTTTGTTTATATCTTGTATATAATTAATGTATTTAGCTGGAATTTTTTTTATGGGATGTTCATGATATGTTTAAGATATAAAATGTTTAAACTAGAAATAAACCATAAATATGAAAATCTTCAAGAAAAAACCTATTCATATATCTAGTATATTTGTAGAATATTTACGGTATAAAACAATCACTCTAAATAAACACTCTGTATATTTAATATATTTGTGTAATATTTACAATGTCAATATATATATATATATATATATATATATATATATATATAAGATTTGAATATACAAACCTGAAAGAATCATAAATCAAAAAAGGGGAAAGGTCCAGATTTGTCCCTCTACTATTGTATATTATTTACATTTGTCACCCGTTATACTTTTCGTCCTTTTCCGTCCCTACCGTTAACAAACTCTTCAAATTTATCCCTAACCCTAACGCCCCTACACTGTGGCAGCTGGTCCCTTCCAATTTTTGTCCATGTCAGATGCCAAGTAAGATGACACCATGTCATTCACCATAGAATGGGTCAAGTTTATGGGGCCATTCACTCACACCTAATTTTAATATCCATTTTCAACTTAAAATCTACCAATTTTTAATCCACACCAGACCCATTCCCCTCCAAATCTGTTTATTTTCCATTTTTAGTTCCATTTTTATTCTATTTTCTTTCTCTTTTACTTTACATCTCTTTCTTCCTCATCAAAACACCATGTCACCTCCTTCGGACTAATTTCACTCAAAACTAGAAAATCGAGCAAACAATCTAGCCAAAATAAATTAACATGATAATAATTAAATTTTTAGATTTTGAATTAAATTCATGCGTTCGTTAGTGCTGGATCAAATTCATGTAAGAGATTTGAAAGCACATTATCGAAAATTTAAAGCCCTATCTTGGGTTGGAATTTTCTACATATGAGGTTGAATTAAACTTTGAGGATTGATTTGGTAACTGTTATGGGACTGAAATTTTTTAAAACTCAGTTGAAAATCAACTTTAAACGCGGTTCATCGGCTTCACCATTGTTGAACTTGAAGATTTTGAGATTTGAAAATTTCTTTTGGAAGTAGTGTTCTAATATTGAATGGTGGTAGGTTTGAAAATAATTTGTATCAATCATGTGAGAATCATTTTTTGAATTAAGGGAAAAAAGTAAAATTAAAAAAGGAATAAAAAGAAAATGGTTAAAAATAAATAAAAAATTATGGGGGAGATGAAGTGTGTTGATGGTGATGAGGACGACGCGTGTGGTGGGAGGGGGTGAGCACTAAGGCTGATTAATGAGATCCCGTTGAACCCCAATTTTAAAGTTTTGTCCCATCTTTTTGGCTTGTTTGTTTCTATGAGTGTGAATCAGTTAATGAAGGGAAAAATGCCAGATTTGTCCCTCTACTTTAGTAAATTATCCACGTTTATACCTAGTTTTACTATCGGTCCAAATAAGTCTTTATCGTTAAGAAAGTAGACAAAAATACCCCAACTCTAATGGCTGTCCACTGTGGCAAAGGACCCCACAATAAAAAAAATGCCACGTAATTAATTCTAAATTTTTATTCTTTTTCCTTTTCTTCTTTTTCTCTCTTATTTTCTCGAACATATGAATCTCTTGCCCTCCACCATTAGAGCAGCCTTAACCACTAAACCCATGAAAGAATTAGATATCTAAAACTTTGCGGCAGCACCTTGAACCATCGTCCTCCACCTTGAACCACTAACCTTCCACCACCACTTTCAACCTCTATCGTCTTTCTCTCACATTTCAAAAAATCGCTAGTCTTCATTTGTTAAAATTGCTAGTCTTCACTGTTTCTTAAAACAAAAAGAACTCAAAAACTGAAATTGCTTGCTCTTTCCGTTGGTTTGGTTAATAAACTGTATAGTTTTATTTAAATCAGGAATATCTATTAAAGAAATGAACCAACAAAATAGTGTGAAAGAAAATATTGCAAACCAACGTAAAGTAGATAACAACTTTTCAACCATAATGTATAGTATCAAGGAAAACAAAGTTGACCAAAAATTACAGGCCAAAATGCACAACGACAGGGGGCCGCAACCGAAACAAGACAAAGTCAAAGGGGAAGATATCAAGATGCTGTTACCAATAACGATAGATGCCAGAGCAACTTCCGGCAATATAATAATGGTGGAGCCACTTCCATCGTATCTTTATGATTTTTGTACAGATCTATGTGTGTGTTTGTGTTTTTCCAATCTACTATTTTTGGGGCCAATGGTGCTCGCCGGCATTTTAATTTTTTGACCAGGATCTGAATATGGGTAGGCAAAGAAGGTGAATCGTAGTCAAAGAGTTTTTGAGTCTGGTAGCTTCTGGTAGTGTTCAGACGGATCTGATTTATAGTGGTGGTGAATATGTTTTGGTAGGTGACAGGCGGATATAGTAGGAGGGAGAGAGAGATTGTTTCTAGAGGTTAGCCGGGCGGTTGATATTGCCGGCACAAGCAACTGCTATAGGAGAGAGGGACCATTTTTCCTGATAAAATTTTTCACTATAATGGTGGACGACAACTGGGGAGGGAGAGAAAGGGAAGGGATTCCGATGGTAGGGAAAGAGATAAAGAAAAAAAGAAAAGGAAAAAAAAGAATTTAAAATGAAAAAGAAATATTAACAAAAAAAGGTAAGGGTGAGTTATTTAATTACGTGGCATTTTTATTGTGGGGTCCTTTGTCATAGTGGACAGCCGTTAGGGTTAGGGGTGTTTTTGTCTACTTTCTTAACGGTAGAGACTTATTTGGATCGATAGTAGAGCTAGGTATAAATGTGGACAATTTACTAAAGTAGAGGGACAAATCTGGCCATTTTCCCGTTAATGAATTAACTAAGACAAATCAATAGTTCCCCTCCCTAGGGCCATTTGACTTTGCAGCTTTTTATTATTATTATTATTATTTTAAATATGACTTGGCATTAGACATGGACAAAAATTGGAGGGGTCAGCTGCCACAGTGTAGGGCCGTTAGGGTTAGGGGCAAATTTGAAGAGTTTGTTAACGGTAGGGGCGAAAATAGACGAAAAATATAACATGGGACAAATATAAACATTATACAATAGTAGAGAGACAATTTTGGACCTTTTCCCATCAAAAAATATATAATTAGTCAAATAAATGTTAAATAATATATGTATTATATAAAAAGATAAAAAGGAATGGAATCGATAGGGTTGGGGATTAAGGAAGCTTAGGAGATAAATAAGACAAATCCTTATGTTACAAATGTGCGAGATCTTAGGCATATTGTTGGGGTTTCGGTTTTGGTTAGGATATGCTATAGAAGAAATATTTTTATTGCTACTATTGATATATTAAGTTTGCTGCTATCAAGATGTATTATCTTTTTTAATATTGCTTAGTTATGTGAAGAGCCCGAAAGCTATTTTAACCTTTAATATATAATAAAAATTTAGTGGGATTATACTGGGTATGTTGTTATTGTTGTTGTAATATTTAATAAAAACCAAAAGCTTTTCTCTAATAGTATTTGATTGAAAATAATTAAATAACTAAAAATATTTTTTGAACAAAATCAGCACTTTCTTAATAAACATCCTGTATAGTGGAAATCATCTCATATTTACAA